ATTTGGAGTTAATTGATATATTATTTAGTCATCTTCAGATTTCATTTTGGTCTCATAATTTCCATCTAAAAAGAAACTTAATGTCAGATTCAATGAAAGAAAATCATTCAATTAATTTTTTTATATACAAACTACAATTGAATAAGGAAAGGAAAAAAACAGTTCTATGCCCTGAAAAGTTAATAGAATATAACCAACATACAAACTGGAATTGAATAAGGAAATAAAAAAAAAAAAACAGTCCTATGCCCTAAAAATTGAAATATGCATATTTAAATTTTGATACAAAAGAATCAATACACACCACTTAATCCCGTCTTTCGTAGTTATCGCAATATCTGAATTTTGTTTGCTGAAAACAGGAACTCCATCAACCCTCCTACTCCTATAGCTATGTGGAATAGTCTTGAGAAGTTGGTGTGATGCCTTGATCTGTGACAGCATAAATCAGATAAACAGAATTATGAATGTATTACAATAAATACAACTTTGTGAATACAATGTGGTCTAAACAAATGGTACCAGCTTTTAATTTGGAACAAACTAAAATAGTTGAGGTTTCTCCTGCATAACACAACAAAATAAAATGTGGATTATTCCAGAAAATGATATGATATTAGAAATATGAATAGGATCGCAAAATTTGAATTTTGTGAAGGAAAATAAGTGTGTATAAGTTTTGCAACTAAAACTAATAATTGCATATTTTGAAAAAATATTTACACGAATCAGCAACCACCACATCCTAGTAAGTTGGATTGGCTGTGACTAAAAGGCAGCACTAAAACTTTGCAATCAATCAAATTACAAAAAGAAAAAAAGAAACACTTGGACTGCTACAAAAAAACAAAATCATCACAGGTTAACTAGTTGCTAGACTCTCTAGATTTTAATAGCATCCATACGCTGCTGTAACACTTAAAAATTATAGAAGTAGAGCATTACAAGGTAAAAAGTTGAAGCAACAGGGTAGCAAGTTATAACAGCACGAAACATCTCAGTGAAAGCGAAGAAATTGAACTGATGCATAATTTCCATCGATCACTCTCTTCCAAACATATGAATTACCAGCATTAGT